GAGAATGAGGGGAAGAGGAAGGAGACAGAAGGGAAGAGAGAGACAGGGAGAAAGATTAAGGAGACACAGGGAGAGAGAAAAGAGAAGTGCATTTGTTATACCCATTCATTTGGGTCTAACAACTCTGGTTGTTAAGTGAAATGATTGATATGGTGTAATTTTGACAAGTGTGTGTCTGACCTCATAGTTTGGACTGATGCTCCAACATTTGACGTAAAACCAAGGTCCTGCCTGTGTCTGTTCAGGTGGACATTAGAGATTCTGTGGTGCTAAAGGGATAGAAGAGTTTCTCCTGGTGTTCTGGTCAACAATACATAGTGGGAAGGCTTTGGTCGCCTTCGTTATACATGAAGAAATATGAGAATTCAAACTAGAATGAGAGTCTCACTTATATAGTCACCTAAACATGGAAATTCACTGTGTCAGAATGGAATGCGCACTCTCTCCCTGGAGGGACACTCCCTGCTTACCTACTTCTGGGGAGTATTTAGGTGCAGGTTAACCACAGCGAAGGCTTGGGGACCCCAGAGTGTGCATTGGGGGTAATTGTGTGAGTTTAGCCAGCTACAACCGTCCTGTAAAACATAGACCAGCTTGGCTCACCATGCATGCCAGTTAGGGATTTGGCTTGCAGCGTTAATAGATGAGTGGAAAGAATCCCTGCCCCCAATGACTGGTCTGCCCTGCCAAGGAGATTATTCACCAGTTAGTGATTTGGCATCTCACAAGTCTGAGTTTGAGGCCTCACTTGGTGGATGGCAGGTACCAGGAACTCCATGCAAGCTTCCTGGTGGGCAACAAAGCTCACCATGAAATACCTGAGTATTTACTGTCCACTGTTTGGACACACATCCCTTCCTACTGAGCGATGGTCCCACCAGTTGGATATGCAGAGCTTGAGCAGAAGCTACTTGCCTCTGTGCAAAACAATCAGGATGAAGTCCAAGCTCTGGATACACGAAAGTTTGTCACAAACTCGGACTCCATGTAATACCTTCCAGCAGCTGTGGCCCCAAGCCTCACAGTCTCCTTATCAGCTATCTGAAGGACATATGCCTCTAGCATGGTGGGAGGACATTTACAGGACAGCTTTTGTCATGCCAGCCAACTTGATGTTCTCAAGGTCCAAGTCCAATGTATCACATTTATTCAGCACCAGCTGCTTAATCCAGGTCCTCATGTGAGGGGCCTTGGCAAATAGACGTTGCCCCCAGGGCGCTTACTGACAGGTCAATATAGGCTGGAGCCCTCCCTCCCTGCAGCCACTTCCCATCCATGTTTGCTGCAAATCCAAGTCACTGCTTGATCCTGGACTTTGCAAACAGGCCGGAGGAAGCCTCTACCCCTGCATTCCCAGGAGTTCAGAATCAGAATTGTTTAGACACAGATCTTATTGCCACAAGCTTGACCTGCATTGGGAGCTTGCTGTCCTTTTTAGAGAGACAAGCATGACCAGGGAGCCCTTCACCTCCTTCTCGGTACAGTCCTTCAAGGCAGTGTCCAGGCAAAAGGTGTCCATCACAACTCGCAGATAACAACAATAGGAATTAACAATTGGGACCTGATGCCTCTTGTGTCTTCTAGGGGTCTAAAGTTGATCGAGACCCAGTGGATGAGGCAGGTAGTAATGGTTTGTAAGTGAGGGAGAACATAAGAATTTGCTGGTGAAAGACGACCTAATTCGCCTTCCACCATCCTGGCAGTCGCTTGACATCTTGTGCCTCAAACTATAAACTATATCCCGAGATATTATTTTCGAGCAGGAATCTATCTAATTTGTTCTTGAAACAAATGACATTTTTTGCTTCCACTGTCTCCCTTGGGAGTCTGTTCCACAAGTCTACTACTCACTCACTGAAGTAATGTTTCTGCAGATATGTTCCGAATTTGCCCCCCCCCCTTCAACCGCAGGGAGTGTCCTCTGGTCCTACTGTTCAGTACAAGGCAAAAGTTTATCTTGGAGCGGGTGCGAGGAGCCCACAGAGGCTGAGGTTGAGTGGTTGAGGGTCAGCTGGGATCTGAGGAGCTGGACTGTGAAATCTCATAGGACAAGGTTACTACGCAGAACATTGCAGCTCATGTATTCTCTTGCACCAAGCTCCGTGACCCTATCGCCCTCAGCCGTGCCCAGCTCCACTGGCTTCCCATTTCCCAGAGGATCCAGTTCAAGATCCTCACCCTCACTCTTAAACTCCTCCTTGCTCTCGCCCCCAACCCCTCCCTACCCGTGACCTTCCTCAAACTCTTACCAATCTGGCCGCTCCCTTCTGGCCCATTTCGCGTCCCCCACCCCCATGCTTCTGGAGCTCCATCTCTGACTCCCTCCCTCACCTCTTTCAAGCTCCGCTTCAAGAACTTCCCGTTTGACCGCACCTTTCCCCTCGCAACCCTCGGCTCCCACCCCCCCAGGGCACAACTGTTGGGATGTCTTCCCAATGTGAAAGGCACTGTGTAAATGTAAATTTGTGCTGTAAAGTATACCCCGGAACAAAATCCTTTCAGCACATGTCAGCACAGAGAGTGTGAGCAGTCAGCGAGTGTATGAACAGACAGCGAGTGTGAGCACTATGTCAGCACAAACAGCGAGTGTGGGCACTGATAGTGAGTTTGAGCAGACAGCGAGTGTACGCACACAGCAAGTGTGAGCAGACAGGGATCGCAGTGAATGTGTGCACGTGACTGACAAGTGTGAGCAGTGTCAGTGCAGCAAGTGCGAGCACTGTCAGCGAGTGTGACCAATGAGTGTGAGCACAGTCGAGTGTGAACAGATAATAAATGTCAACTCACAGCCAGTGTGAACAGTGAGTGCGTGTACAGGCAGTGAGTGTTAGCACAGTGTCAGCAGAGTGAGTGTGTCCACCGAGCGAGTGTGTGCCAGTACAGACAGCGAGTGCATAGACAGCAAGTGAGCAAAGAATGAGTGTGAGCACAAACAGGGAGTGTGTGCAGTGTGAACATAGTGTCAGCACAGACGGTCAGTGTGAGCAACCAGATTGTGAGCAGTGACTCAGCGCAAACAGCAAGTATAAGCACTGACAGTAAGTGTGAGCAGACAGCAAGCATGAGCGGATCGTGAGTGTGTGCAGACAGCGAGTGTGAGGAGACAGCAAGTGTGACCAGGCAATGTGTGTGAGCAGACAGCGAGTGTGTGCACAGTGAGTGTGAGCATGGTGTCAGCAATGACAGCGAGAGTGAGCACAGTCCGAATGCGAGCACTGGCAGCAACTGTGAGCAGACACTGAGTGTGTGCAGACAGCAAGTGTGAGCAGACAGTGAATGTGTGCACAGACAGTGAGTGAGAGGATGATTTGTCTAAGCCGCATCACAGGGGTCTCTCTGCCCCCAACCTGCACAGACCTTACGGGGCGGGCGGGCGGGGGTGAAGTCTCAGGGTAGTGGGGATGAGGTGAGTGGCACCATGTGGAGAGCTCTGCACTGCCAACCGGGTACGCACACAGCAAGTGTGAGCAGACAGGGATCGCAGTGAATGTGTCCACATGACTGACAAGTGTGAGCAGTGAGTCTCACATAGCAGAGAATCCCGGGTTAATTCCAGGAATCTCCCACAATGTGAGAGAGACTGTTACTGAACACAGCTAAGCCTGTGTGAGTGCGTGTATGTATGTATATATGTATGTATGTATGTATGTATGTGTGTGTGTATGTGTGTGTGTATGTATGTATGTATACGGGTTCGAATGTATGAGTGGATGAGTTTCAGTATGAGTGCAAGTGCGTATGTCATGCGATTATACGTACAAGTGTGTGCGTGTGCGCGTATGTGTGTGCCCACGTGTGTGTATAAGTGTTAATGTGAGTGTGTGCACGAGTGGGAATGTATGTGGTGGGTATATGTGTCAGTGTATTTTTGAGTGTGAGTGTATAGGTGCACCTGTGTAAGTCTCTGGATGTATGCGTGAATGTATGTGTCTGCTTGCGTGTGAGTGTGAGTATGTATGTGAGTATATGTTTGGAGGCATGTGTATGTATGTCGGTGAATGTGCGTAAGTGTACATGATTGTGAGTGTTTATGTGTATTTGAGTGTATGTACATATACAAGTGTGAGTTTATGTGTACATGTGCGTGATTATATGGGTATGTGTGTGCATCAGTGTGAGTGTATGTGTTTTGTGTGCACGAGTGTGAGTGAAGTTGTTTGTGTGCAAGTGTGAATGTATTTGTGTCTGAGTGTTAGTATGTTTATATGGGTGTGAGCGTGTGGGAATGAATGTGTCGGGTGGGATTGTGTGTACACGTGTGTGTGTACATGGCTATCAATGTCTGGGTCTGATCGTGTTACGTGTGTGATGACGAGTGTATGTGCGGTGAGGCGTGGGTGTCGTCCCGCTCATGTCGAACTGAAGACCCCGGCGGGAGAACGAATTCGCTCCAACACCACCGAGCGGGGCCCACTGTAACCAAGGGGGAATTGTTTTTATTTATCACCCCTTTAAAGAAATATCGCAAGTTAAAACACCTTTACACACCGAAAATGTGCGACGCAGGAGGTGGGCACAGACTGGCTGGCAACACCAGGGAACGTAGCAGATCAGTCACTGACCCAGAGTCTCTGCTTGTGGCTGTGTATTATATATATATATATAATCTCTCTATATAAATGTATATATCTCTTTCCCTCCAGGTGTCAGGCTCGGTTTGTTACAGCAGCGTTCATCGTGACTGCAATAAAAGTGCTTCAAGTGTCACCCAACTGAGAGTGTCCATGGCTCAGGAGGCGCAGGACAGTTATTGAGTACAGCAAATTGCTTGTACATTAACCGTCCCCAACGCCTTGGGACGTCCTCTCCATGTGAAAGGCGCTATATATATGCAATTTGTTGTTGTTTCACTTGGGAGGGAGGGGAGAATTGTCTTTGGGGAGGGGACACAGAACGAGAGAAAGAGAGAGCGAGAGAGAGAGAGAGAGAGAGAGAGAGGAGTGCAAGGAATGGTGAAGAGACTGTGGCTCCCTCTCCCCTCCCACTCCCCCCCCCACCCACCCACCCCCTCATTGAGAGCCGTCCATGTTAAAGAACTCTCCGTTCTCGGTGATGTGTAGGCGGGGTGGATTGGAGGGCGGGTTGGAGGGGAAGGCTCCGCCATTCTGCCACTGCTGGGCGGCACCGACTCGATCCCTTGCGCGGCTCAGAGTCCCCGTCAGCCTGGCGTTGGTGGCGTTCATCGAAGAAAGCTGCTTCTCCTGGACAGAGAAAGGGGAGAAAGCGAGCGTAAAGCCATCAGCAACCCCGCGAGGGTACGAGGGGGTGGGGTGGGTGGGGGGAGATCAGCCCTGACCCTGGAACAGCCGTGAGCTGGTGTAACAGCCAAATGGAAATGGGACAACCCACCCTTGTCCCCTCTCCTCCTTCCTGTCCTCCTCTTAAAGCAGATGGAATGCTTCACCCAATTCACTTCATTGAACACAAATTGGCAATGCAGACTCATGCCAATGGACTAGAATAGAGACTAGTTGGCGTATTAATTGATAAACTGGTGTCTGCTTCCTTCCCCCCTTTAGTAACTAGCATAACGTACATCGAAATCCCCCCGCCCCATTTGCCAGATGAACCAAGGTGACAGGATTCAGGTCTGGGGACTGTTAGTTTGAGGCAGTGGCAAAAGTTCGGCCCCAGCTCCACCGCCTGGAGTCCCATGGAAATTGGGCAACTGAGCGACAGTCTCGGACCATGTGATTTACTCGTCTCCCACCCATTGGATATTGGATGTGAATCCTTTGGGAATCTCTTGATATAAATCTTCAGGGAATCTGAGATTTTAATACTGGGGAAATCCAGATTTTTAGGCATGGGGGCGGGGCGGGCGGGGGGGGGCGAATGGATGTGAATTCTGGGGAATCTCAATAATAATCCTTGCATTTAATATAGCGCATTATCACATCTTCGAGATGTCTCAAAGCGCTTCACAGAATCTACTGTAAAGTGAATTAACTGTAAATTTGGTGGGCGAAACGCGGCAGCTAATTGCGCACAGCAGTGTCCCACAAACCGTCATGGATTGAGTGACCAATTTATTGTTTTTTTTTTTTGAAGGAATTATTACCCCCAGAAAAGCAATCCGACAATCGACTAGGAACCCGGTTCCTACTTACTGCTGGGTAAACAAAGTCATGTGGAGTAAGGAATGTTGCTCAACCTCTTGCCCTGGAATCAAATCCAGATCTTCTCGCTTGCGAGGTGAGCGCTCTAACCACTGAGCTACAGGACTCCACAATTCAATGTGATTTCTGGAAAACCTCAGATGTGGATTTTGGGGGGAAAATCTCAGCGTGAATTCCCTGTTGGCTTGCGATAAGGGACAGGCTGGAGGGCAGGCGGATAAACTGGGGGGTGGGATGGGGTGGGAGAATAATGCCGTCTACGAAGGCTTCTCATCAATAAACCCAGGATTCCACTGCCTTGATTACGTGCGTCAGCCAAATTGGTTTATCCCCCCTTCAGATCTTTTTTGTTATCCCCACTCTAGGATGGGTTGCACGGCACACTCAATCTAGCCGATTAATTTAAGGGGCTCCACAGGGCGATGCCGGGCTGTTCCAGAGTGAAGGCATTTCATGGCTTCAAGTAATCAAATCTACATCATTGTCAACATCTCCACCTAGGCCGGGTGGATCTGCCAGTTGGCATAGGGCTTTCTGCCTGTGATCAGGACACAGTGTCAAGTTTTCATCAGGACAGGCAACCAACTACTCAGAGCAGAGCCAGCACTGACCCAGATATGCCATTCAGGGCCCAGAACCAACACACAGATTTCTCCTTTTACCTGTTCCCCGCTCGTCCTCACACTCTCCTCCTCTGGGACACTTGTTCTCTGAACACATCTCTGATGAGTTTCTTTTTCTGTAGACACTCACCATTTCAAGACTCGCACATGAAGAATGCCCATGCAGGCTGGCCCCTGTGGTGACGTGGGGAGATGGATTCTTGTGCCTCAGGGGGAGGGGGCATGGGAGAGAGAGAGACTGTGCTCAGCTCCAGCAGTTCGGCTTGTGCTATCAACAAGCTCAGCATTGCTCCCTGGTTATGCTGGGTTGTGCTTTTCTGGTGTGACAGTGTGTTGGGGAAGGGGTGATGAGATGTCTCTATGTTATTATCTGTGATATCATGGGGAGAGGGGTGGCTTTAACAATGTTCAGAAGTTCACTGTTTTTTGAGTGAAGAGCAAAGGCATTGAGTGGAGACATTCAGTGAAGAGCAAAGGTACAGAGTGAAGACGTGGAGTGAAGAGCAAAGATATTGAGTGAAGAGCAAAGGTACAGAGTGAAGACACGGAGTGAAGAGCAATGGCACTGAGTGAAGAGCAAAGGTATTGAGTGAAGACACAATGAGTGAAGACACAATGAGTGAAGAGCAAACACCTTGAATGAAGGGCCAAGTGACCCGAGTCACATGTGAATGTGATGGGAATCTGAACATTGCGAGATGAAGTTTGTGGAACACAAAAAATAAGCCAAAACCTGTGCATTTTTTCCAGTTCAAACAATGAGGAAATCAGGAGCAGAAGAGACCTGAGGTTAGCCACACCACACAAACGCGATGAGGTCAACACTTCAGTGTGAACACAGAGGAGTTCACCGGTTCCCAGCCAGGCCGCTTGGCAAGACACCTTCTGCTTATCTTCAGCCAACTTACATTAACCTGATCACTTGTCCCCAGATACAAGCAGCCTAATAGGGCAATGTGGTTTTCTAGGGATGCATAGGCCAAACCACTTTTGATAATAATGATAATAAACAATAATCCTCACATTTGATACTTTCACATTGGGAGGACATCTCAAAGCCCTGTCGAGGGTACTGACTGCGCACTTCAGTTTTGCAGCCGATATTGTGCACATCATCCCACAAATGGTCATAATAGAGAGTGACTGATTTTATCTGGGAGATTGTCAGCCAGGAAACGGGAGAGATAGTGCTATGGGATCTTTAACGTTCACCGGAACAGGCAGATGACAAATGTCATATGACAAATGGTCTCTAAGGCAAGATATCAGGTGCCCTCGGATCTACTCTCATACAGAAGGAGGGAATGTGACGTGTGGGGGTGGGGGGGAACTGGTCAACCTTCAGGCTTTGGAGTCATAGAATCCTGTGTAGTCCAGACACCGAGGTAAGCCCGGTGCCCATTACCCAGACTCAAGGCACCATTGGCACAAAATTGAGGTCGCAGTTCACAGATCCCTCCCCACAAAAACCTTCTCCCCTCTTTTCCCGACCCCATTCTTAGTTTTGAACAGGGTTTTCACTGGAGAAAAATGACACCAAATAATGGTTTCAGGGAGGGCAAGATGACAAGGTTGGGAGTTCATCTCAAAGAGGAAGATATAAGATGACATAGCCCCATCCAATCAATCCCCAATAACCCCCATACCCCTTGGCTCTCTCTCAATACTGCGGGACAAGGTGCTTGTCACAGGGCCTCCTTCTATTCAACTCTGGTAGCCTCCGATTCGAGGCTGATAGGCGGCTGCTCTGCATGGCTGGGAATCGGTGTAAAGTCCTGCAAAGCGAGAGGCTACCACAAAGCAAATAGTAAAAAGTACACATTCCCCGTTCCCCCCTTCCCCCTCCACCCCACCTTGACAGGTCATAAAATAACGGTAGTGCATAACGTGTAAAGCAACACACAACGCGCACAGACACACACAAACACACACAGAAACGTACACACTAGGACAACGCTAACACGCTGCAGGCAGATATTTAGCCACCTCGCTTGTTACGCAGCCGACACGCATGCGGGCAGGCGGGTGGGTGGGCGGGCGGGATCACACAGAGAGAAATCCAATGTCAACACAACATCTCATAGACAGTCCGTGTGAAAACTGCTGGCTTAACAGGGAGGCCAGAAATGAGTCCTTCTCTAAGGTTGAGTTTGCAAGATTGGCTTGATGAAACCTCTATTTCCCTCCTATTTTTCCTCCCCCTCACTCCCACCCCAACTCCCCCACCACCCCAACCCCCTCCTTCTCTCAGTTAATATCATTTTCCTCTGTAGAATCTCGCTCGGCCAAAGCCCAGGAGACCTCTTCTTTGATCTGTTGACCAAAGTTCTCCCCGTTAAAAAAACAACTTTTCCCCTCCCTCCCCCACCCCCAGTGAAACATTAAACACATCAAGGATATTCTTTCCTGGCTTGTCCAGGTCTCACAAGACAGGGAACCTGCTGGTGAGATTCCCATTTAGATAAGACTCTTCAGAACTTGCCAGTTGGAAACTTGTTTAGCCGGGGCTGGGATAATTGGCAATGTTCCCCGGATTGCAACCAGTTCAAATTATTCTAACAATAATCCCTGTGTTTGGAGAATGTCCCAAAGCACTTCACATTATAAGTGAAACCTTCAGTCATCAACCATGCCTCCGATCCTCCTCCCAACCCCAACCCCCGTGCCCTTGACCTCTCTTGATTCCAACCCCCAGCTCCTGTATTAACTCTTCACTGTCTGATGCCTTAAGACGTCCTCCCGACGTAAAAGCACTACATTAATGCAATTTGTTGTTAAGTTGAAATGACAGATTTTTTTTTGTGGGCAAATGTGGCAGCCAATTTGCGCACAGTGATGTCCCACAAACAGCCATGGAGTGAGTGACGGATTGTATCTGGGGGGACTGTTGGCTAGGACACCAGGAGAGAGAAACTCCCTCTCTTTAAAGCTTTAGTTGGATCCCATTGATACTGAATGAAGCCAATTTTGGTTGTGTGCAGTTGAGATGGATTTTGTCAGTAGCAAATGATAGTGACTGAGAAAAGATTCAAGGGTTTCGAGATTCCAAGATGCTATTTGGTGAATCGGAAGAATGAGATTCCCTCATAGGCCCATTTGCTAATGTCATGAAGTTGCTGATAGTGAAATGATAATAAATAATAATACTAATAATCCTTGCATTTGGTACAGCACCTTTCACATCAAGTGAATGTCTCAAATGCTTCACAGAATTTACTGTAAAGTGGAGTTACTGTGTGTTTTGTGGGTGAACACAGCAGCCAATTTGCACACAGCAACATTCCTGTAAACAGTTATGGAAAAAGTGACCATTTTTTTCTAAGGGATTGTCAGCCAGGATACTGGGAGAGCGGACCTCCCTCTTCTTTTCTAATAGCACCGCAGAATCTTTTAGCATCCACCTGAAAAGGCATAGATGGGACGGGACCTTGGTTTAATGTCTCGTCCAGAAGACTGGAC